AAAAAAAAAAAAAAAAAAAAAAAAAAAGAAGGGGGAGGCGGGAGGGGAGGTGGTGAGAAGTAGGTTAATGGATATGAAAGTATAAATATGAGGAATAATATTCAATGTTGTATAGCACTGTTGGGTGATTATAACTAACAACAATTTACTTATCTAGTCATCGGAGCTGAATCCACAAATAAATGAATAATAGAGAGAGACAGACAGAAAGAAAGAAACAACAATCACAGTAATATGTTGAACTTTTAGAAAACTAGAGGTGGAAAAGTGGGAGAGAGATAGAGTGGGGCTAGTCAATGCACACAAAGAGTGATTGCATATTGTAATGATGAATAAGCTAACTATCCTGATCTAACCATCACATATTGCACACAATCAACATCATACCCCACATGAATGTATAATTTAAAAAAAAATTTACTCTACAGTTTCAATTACCTAGAAGAAAGGATTTTGAATGTTTCCAACACAAACAAATTAGAAATGTGAAAAAAAAAAAAAAGTCAGTGGTTGCCAGGATTTCAGGGGAGGAGGTGGGGAGTGATGAATAGGTGGAGCATAGTGGATTTTTAGGGCAGAAAAACTGTTGCGTAGGATACTGCAATGGTTAATACATGACATGCATTAGTCAAAACCCATAGAGCTACAGAATACAAAGGGGGAACCCTAATATAAAAATGAAGTTAACATAATATGTCAATATTGATTCATAATTGTAACAAATGTACCACACTAATGGAACATGTCTATAAAAGGAGAAATGGTATATGTGGGTGGGGGGAGAGTATGGGAACTATCAGTACTTTCTGCTCAATTTCTCCTTAAAACTAAAAGTGCCATAAAAATAAAGAAAAAAAAACATTCCTTAGGGAGGTCTGTTTACAACTAACTTAATTAACTAATTAATTAATTAATTAAATAAACACCCCTGGCCTAATAACAGGCATACTAAATGTTATTTGAGCTACTGAAATAGTTGGCTTGAAGTTAATATCAATGTTGCCCATTACTAAAAAAAGGAATACTACACTGCTATTAAACAATAAGTTTTTAAAATAAAAAAGAATATGAAGCTCCCTGTTTTGATACAAAAAGCTATCCAGAATATATAAAGTGAAAAAAGATACACAATTATGTAGACTGCTACCTTTTGTTTAAAGAGGCAAATTAAGGATGTATATTGATCATTTCTTGCATATGATTTATATAGAAACTCCAAAATGTTATTAAGACATTAATAACAATAGTTATCTACTTGAGGTAGGAGACCTCAGAGCTGGAGATGGCCGTTGAGGTGGCAAGGAGTCTTTTTACCCTATAACCTTTTATATAATTTCTTCCTAAACTGTGTGAGAAAGTGTTACCTAGTCAAAAAATTAATTTTTTTTTCTTAAGAAAAGGCTATGTAGGCAAGCAGAAAAGTTTGGTGGTATCTTTCTTTCCATACCCTTTACCTCTAGATCTTCCCTCTTTCCAGCTAACAACCAGCCAGTAATCAAGTAGGTTTTTACTTGATTTTTAAAAACAAAATGAATTATTATGCTTTTAAAAAATCTGCTTCAGGGCCGGCCCGTGGCTCACTCGGGAGAGTGTGGTGCTGATAACACCAGGGCCCCGGGTTCGGATCCCATATAGGGATGGCCGGTTTGCTCACTGGCTGAGCATGGTGCTGACAACACCAAGTCGAGGGTTAAGATCCCCTTACCGGTCATCTTTAAAAAAAAAAAAAAAAAATCTGCTTCACTCCTCAAAGATGCCATAATTGATGAGGAGCCAGAAGAAGTAATTGCTGTTACTCATTCCCTTGGTAATTTCTGCTGTGCACCTGACCCCACCTACAGTTCTCAGAAAGGGCAATATGTGTCTATGTGCTAGCACTAATTCAGGATTTCCAAAAGAAAAGGACCATAGAGGACATAAATAGGCACTACAGTCAGATCTAGAGGATGATTCATTCATTTCCTGTGTACAATAATGTCCTGTGACCCAGAAGTGATTATCCCCCAAAATCATTCATAGACAAAAGAGGTATAAAATTACTCATTAGCAATATCTGAACCAACAAGGCAATGCTGTAAGATTTATCAGCTTTAGTATGGGCTCTGACTAAACACCAGATACAAAAATTTCAGAAAGAGTCATAATAAAAGTCTCTGTAGAAAAGAAATCATTCTTTATCTTGGAAATTTTAATATTTAATGCATTTTCAGCAGTAAGGCAGGCACTCCAGATAAAAGTCATCTGTCAGTTTGAGTTTAAAGAAATGGGACTTAATGAGATGATCTGAAATGCTACTGAGCTCATTGAGGAGGCTGCTTTGGAATTTTACAGTCCTCCCTTTGGTTCTGCTATGACCTCTGGACTCACCTTTACAACACACCTTAAGGCTGCCAAGCCACTACATACATGGTTTACTACACTAAACTCTCCCAGGAACAATGCTGCAGCTTTATATATTGAAGCTTACGTGTTCTACTACAGAGCTCTCTACTTAAAGGGTCTAACTTTAGTCTACTTCAGAGCTTAATACTAGGTTTATTTGAAAGGGTTTCTAGCACTTATTAAATAATTCAACAGATACTTTATTTAAAATAATAGAAATAATTGCTTTTATACAAGAACGATTTCTAAAGAACTCAGAGATTTTTCCTTGATCTTCAAGCTCTCATTTGCATGTGCCTATTTGACTTGGATGCCTCAGTACAATGACCAACCATTGCAGTTTGTCCAGGATTGAGGCATTTCCCAGAGCATGGGATTTTCAGTACTAAAACCAGGAAGGTCCTGAGCAAACTGGGATGATTGGTCATGCTATTCCTCTAATATCATAAATGTAATATGTCCAAAACAGACATCTTAAATTTTCACCCCACCCCCCAATCTGCTTCTCCTCTAGTCTTTCCCATGTCAGTAAATGGATGCATCACCATCCTATATTCTTTCCTTCACTTACTCCCATCCAATGCTTCAGCATGTCCTTTTGACTCTACCTCCAAAATAAACTTTGAATATGTTCACTTCTTTCCATTTCCAAAGCTACCATGCTAATCCTAGCCACCCATTTTATCTCCCCTTTTCCACTTGTTTACCCCTATAATTTATTCTGTAAGTAATCAGAAAGATCTTTTAAATGTAAAACATCATGTAACCTTTTTGCTTGCAACCATTCAGCAACTTCCTAATACTTTCCATAGCCTAATAGGTCCTTTGTAATGGGTCCCAGTCTATCTTTCTGACTTTATC